ATATATCAAAGTTATATCAAAGTCTATCAATACAGAATATATCAAAGATATATCAAAGTCTATCAATACAGGATATATCAAAGTTATATCAAAGCCTTATCAATACAGAATATATCAAAGTTATATCAATCTCTATCAATTCAGGATATATCAAAGATAGGAAGTGGCTTGACTAAGTTGCTCCCTTGGGTTACCCCTGGCTTCACAGGGAGCTGAAAAAAACTACAAGGCCTGTGGTTGGCATCACAGTTGTGCCTCCAAATTCTGACTCGGTATGAGGACTTGGTCTTTGCAACTCACTATGGCAATACTCTACTTGCCAGTTCATAGCTCTGTTTGACTTTAGTGTAGGACAGATATGAAGCCACGCTATTTCTCTGCTCAGTTTAAGGTTGTAGAATTTAATGCTTCTGAGGACACCAGGCAGGGGAGCTTTTTCTAACCTGTCTACAGGTGTAATCCTTGACTTACAACCACTCATTTAGTGTCCGCTCCAAGTTGCAATGGCACTGAAAGAAGTGACTTATCATGGTTTTTCACACTTATGACCATTGCAGCATCCCCCATGGCCACATGATTAAAACTGCAACGCTTGGCAACTGACTCATATTTATGACCGTCACAGTATCCTGGGGTCCTGTGATATCCTTTTGCGACCTTCCGACAAGCAAAGCCAATGGGGAAGCCAGATTAACATATATATATATATTCTGGTTGTACAGTTTTTAACTGTTATTAGTTTTAATTTGTTTTACATTGTTATTTGTACATGTCTTTTGGTGTTGTTCAGTTGTATGTTGTGGAAGAGCACCTTATTTCGTTGTTCTCAGGTTTCTGAGTACAATGACAATAAATTTATCTATCTATCTATCTATCTATCTATCTATCTATCTATCCATCTATCTATCTATCTATCCATTTAACGACTGTGGCCAGGAAGGTTGCAAAATGGGGCAAAATCCACTTAACAACTCACTTAGCAACAGAAACGTTGGGCTCAATTGTGGTCGCAAGTCAAGGACAGTTTATCGCCCCCAACTCTAATGAATGCATGAAAGATTGGGGGGGGGGGTGTTTCCGTGTATGGTAATGCACTGCTTTTATCTTTTATTATTCAGAGGCTTCCAGTTGACCTGTTTGGCTTAAAATCCACTTCGTGTGCATCGCTTCTCAAAATGTGTGTTTTCTCCCCTTCTCCTTGCTCTCTTTCTCCGTAAGACCTACGAGCAGAACGAATGGGTTATTCACTTAGCCGGGAAACTCTTGGCCAACGAGAAGGAAACGTTGTCTCTTCTGGCCTTCAACCCGTTTGAGGACAAGGCACCACCCAAGTAAGTCCAGTTTAAGGGGCATCTTCTTTTTTTAAAAAAGCTTAATAAAAGTTTATTAATAAAGAGTAAAAGAAGAATAAGAAGGGGAAAAAAATCAAGAAAAAAGCAAAAGTGCAGAAAGAAAGAAGGGAAAGAAATGGAAAGAGAAGCTTTCTGTTTCTTTTGCGGCAATATAAATAGATTTACAAAAGCACCTCTTATCTACGATTACAAAATAGCTCATTCTTTTCTGTGATATTTCTTTTTCTAATCATGAAAGCGTAAGTGCCTTTTTCCCCCATTTTATGCAAAAAAGAGCCTCTGAGGGATTTCCAGTCAGCAATAAAGATATTTTTTTTTCCCCCGGTCAAACAAGTCAATCCAGCCATTTCCGCAAATTCCATCCTCCTCCCCAACGATTCCTCCGTTGTGGGCTTTGTCAAACTTTTCCATATTTGAGCATATTATACTGCCGTTGTCATGCTAAAAAAGAAAGTTTCATGACTTGTTTCTAGTTGCCTGTCCACCAGTCCTAGAAGAAAGGCCTCTGGTTTCAGTTGTACTTTAACCTTTAAAATTGTCATGCCCCCGTTGGAGACTGACTCTGAGGGAGAGGAGGAACAGCCGACAGGGAGTGGAAGTGTGGCTCCGGAGGTTGTGGAGGAGGCTGGGGAAGGGCAGAGGCTGGCCGGGCAGTCAGAGGAGGACCCAGGCCCATCCCCTCTCCATCCTAGGGCATGCAGGGAGGAGAGGATAAGGGAGAGACGTGGGCTACTTGGGAAGAGAGGGCCTTGATCCTCTTCATGGGCTGCAGCTGTGACATCTGGGTAAGAGGACAGACATGCGTATGGGCGAATGCTGGAAACAAAGCATGGAAATATCTCTAGTTTATGGTTCCTCTCTGAGTTTGGTGTCCTTCCCAGTGTGTGTTATCTGTGGACGTCCTCCAGCCCTTATCTTGCCTGGTTTGTGTTGGCTTTTTTTCCTTCTTCTTGTAACTGTTTGTGTGGGAGTTTTTTTGTCCCCAGTCAAGGATATTTGGAGCTTGGAAGCAAAGTGAAGGAATAAAAGGGGCTTCACCTGTTTTTTGTGACAGTGTTTGTTTTATATCCCATCCTGGGTCATCACAAAAATCTTCAGAATTAATGTATACATTTGTCTCCAAAATTTTGGTGTTTTTTACATGTCCACCTAACAAAATGTCCCTTCAGGATGTTCCTTTTTCCAACAAAGATTCAAACTACTCCATTCATTCTAGAGAGTTTCTCTGGTGACAAATGAGGGACATCTTCTGACCAGGGAAACAGCCACACAGTGAGATCCTTTTTCCGACAATGCTGTTGCACGGATACCTTCTAAGGCAGACTCTTGTCCAGATCATAAAACACAGAATAACAGAGTTGGAAGGGACCTCAGAGGTCTTCTAGTCCAACCCCCTATTCAAGCAAGAGGCTCTATACCATTTCAGACATATGACTTCCCAGTCTCTTTTTGAAAGCCCCCAGTGATGGAACACCTACAACTTCTGAAGGAAAGTTATTCCACGGGTTGATTGCTTTCACCTTTAGGAATTTTCTCCTTAGTTTCAGGTTGCTTTTCTCCTTGATTACTGTCATGCCCCTGTTGGAATCTGATTCTGAGGGAGAGGTGGATCAGCTGACAGGGAGTAGGAGTGTGGCTCTAGTGGCTATGGAGGAAACTGGGGAAGGGCACAGTAGGGCTGGGCATTCAGAGGAAGACCCGGGCCCATCTGCTCTTCATCCTAGGGAGGAACAGATAAGGGAGCAAGGTGAGTTGTGTGGTTTACGGGGGAGGAAAAGGCCCTGATCCCCTTCATTGGCTGCAGCTGGGAAAACTGTTTAAAAAGGCAAACCATGCACAGCAAAGTTGCTGGAAGCAAAGTGTGAAATTATTTTGGTTTGTCAAGTCTTATCTGAGTTCTGGCGTCCTTCCAAGTGCGTCTGTTTCATTATCTTTTGACATCTTCAATCCGTTATCCTGCCCTGTCTCGTTAATTGCTGTAGTGTGGCTTGGGTTAGTTTTTATTTATAATTTATATGTACTTTGAGTTTGGACGGAATTTCTTCCCTTTAAAAACTGTACTTGGGAGACTTTTTTCTCCAGCCGATGATAACTGGACATTGGCGGGCAGGTTGGAGGTATTAAAGGGACTTTCCCTACTTTTGTGACTTTGTTGCTTTTGTGCCACGCCCCTTTGGGTCATCACAATTACTTTCCATCCATTGTTTCACATCTTGCCTTTTGGTGCTTTAGAAAATAGTTTGATCCCCTCGTCTTTGTAGGTGCCCCTCAAATATTGGAAGGCCTTCTTTTCTCTAGACTAGACATACCCAATTCCTGTAACGGTTCTTCATATGTTTTAGCCTCCAGTCCCCTAATCATCTTTGTTACTCTTCTCTGCACTCTTTCTAGGGTCTCAACATGTTTTTTGTATTGTGGTGACAAGAACTGGATGCAGTATTCCAAGTGTGGTCTTACCAAGGCTTTGTAAAGTGTGCCCATGGGACACAGCTGAATTGGGGTAAACAGCTGAACGGATTAACAGAGATGGAAGGGACCTTGTAGGTCATCTAGTCCAAACCCCTGTCCAAGCAGGAGGAGACCCTACACCATTTCTGACAGATGGCAGTCCAGTCTTTTCTTGAAAGCTTCCAGGGATGAAGCTCCCATAACCTCCGAAGGCAACTTCTGTTCCATGGGTTGATTGTTCCCACTGCCAGAAAATTCCTCCTTATTTCCAGGTTGAATTTCTCCTTGATCAGCTTCCGTCCATTGTTCCTTGTTTGGCCTTCAGTTGCCTTGGAAAATAGCTTGACCCCTCTCCTCTCTGTGGCAGCCCCTTAAATATTGGAAGACTTCTACCTGTCTCGCCAGGTCCTTCTCTTCACGAGACTAGCCAGGCCCAGTTCCTACACCTGGAATGCTTTTCCTCTTTCCCTCACAAGCACACACGTGTTCACACACCAAATGCAGACCTGTGAAGGAGGGAGCACATTTGCGGGACTGAATTTGTTCCCCGATACTTTTCCCTCTGGGCCTGGCATTTCGTAAAGCTCAGCTCACTCGTGTAGGTTCTCTGACAGTAAATCTGAAGAAGAATTAAGGAGTTGGAGAACAATGTTGACTGGCGTTCTTTGGACACTTCAAAATGAAATTAGATTGTGGTGTGGGGTTATTGCTGCCGTGCAAGTGCAGTAAAACAGAAAATGAAAAGCAGATGACTGGCTCGCTTCTGCAAAAAGGAAAAAAAAAGGTTACAACATGAGGTCATGGGTGGGAGTAATCTAATTGAGTGTGAAACTTGACTTGGGCAAAGGAACTTTTGCAAAACATCCGGGCACAAAGCGTTAGATCTGGCTCAAGGTTCATAAGGCATTTAGTCCTCATAAATCTTAAAAGACTCCTGTTTGGGGCTGCAAGCGGAGGTGGTATTTAGCCGGTTCTGACCGGTTCTCTCAAACCGGTAGTAGTTCGGAGAACCGGCCAATCCCACCCCTGACTGGTCCCGCCAACCCCATCTATTCTCTGCCTCCCTTTGAGTCCCAGCTGATCGACTGGGTCTTCTTTGGTTGCCCTGCCCAGGAGAATGGATCTGGAAAGCAGGTTAGTGGGGTGGGGAAGGAATGGGGATTTTGCAGTATCCTTCCCCTGCCGCGCCCACCAAGCCTTCCCCGCAGAACTGGTAGTAAAAAAAAAAATGTGAATCCTACCCCTGGCTGCAAGGATTCATAAATGATTGAGCCACAAGGTTGGTGTAAAGCTTTGCTCAAGTGTGAAAGGACAATTAAACCTTCAGAAACCGTGAGCACTCCAAGTCAGCGGAAGCCACCATTTTCTTCCTTAAGCATGTCGTGTGAAGGCCACCATGTTAAAACAGGGCACGGATTATTGGATTATCCACGCAGCCCCTGGGCTTTGCCAACTCTCATTTAGAGGGCCAGTTTAGCCTAGCGGTTCAAGGCCTCAGGCTAGGAACAGAAGACCGGGAGTTCTAGTGCCACCTGAGGCAGGCACCCGGTTAGGTGACCATGGGCCAGCCGCTTTCTCTCCGCCCTAGGAAGGAGACAGCGACGAAAGCTCTTCTGAAATCTTGCCAAGAACATTGCAGGAACTTGTCCAGGCAGCTGCAAGAGTCAAAGAACCGACTCCAACGCACGGGAAAAGAGATACTGCCTCGTTTAGGGTTTAGTGTGCTTTGTGTGTGTGTGTGTGTGCGTGTGTCGCCAGCTACAAATTGCCCTGTGCAACTTGATCCTTCCTGACAATGTCAGAGGCTTCCTAGGCACACACTCCCTCTCTCCCACTGTTACTTCATCAAAAAAAACCCTCAACCTCTGCGCAGGCAAACATTTTGCCCACCCTGCTGGTCTCCCAATCCGTGTGTGTGTGTGTGTGTGTGTGTGTGTGTGTGTGTGCTTGTCTTTTCCCTCCAAAAACATCCCATCTGTTCCAGAGAGAGAGAGAGAGAGAGAGAGAGAGACAGCTGCCTCCTCCACAACTGTTTTCACCTGTCTAGAAGGTTTTAGCCTCCAGCCACAACAGCTTAGAGATGTGGCCTCTTTGCAAGCCTTCCCAGTTGGAAGATGTCCCGGGGGGGGGGGTGATGGACAGGGGGGGCATCTCTGCAGCACAGCTGTCCCAGCCTCGAGGAGGAAGTTGCGGGACCATCCAGGCTGGGAGAAAGCAAACTTGCTCCTCCATGACAAAAAGGATTCAGGAGGTTGCAAAATCAGCCTCTGTGGAGACCGATTCTTTCCCTTCCCTTCCCTTTTTATTTTCCTTTCCTTTTTATTTTCCTTTCCTTTTTATCTTCCTTTCCTTTTTATTTTCCTTTCCTTTTTATTTTCCTTTCCTTTTTATCTTCCTTCTCTTCCCTTTTTATTTTCCTTTCCTTTTTATCTTCCTTCTCTTCCCTTTTTATTTTCCTTTCCTTTTTATCTTCCTTCTCTTCCCTTTTTATTTTCCTTTCCTTTTTATCTTCCTTCCCTTCCCTTTTTTATTTTATTTTCCTTTTTATCTTCCTTCCCTTTCCTCTTTATCTTCCCTTTCCTTTCCTTTCCTTTCAGATTAGGCGAGACCAGGCTCAAACACAGTAACTGTGAGAGGGACTTTGCAGTCCTAGTGGATGATCCCTTGAATATGAGCCAGCCGTGTGCGGCAGCTGCCAAAGAAGTTAACACAATCCCGGGTTGAATAAACAGAGGCGCAGAATCAAAATCAGGTGAAGTATTAGTGCCGCTTTATAAATCCTTAGCAAGGCCACCCCTGGAATGCTGCATCCAGTTTTGGTTACCACATTACAAAAAAAGATGCTCAGACTTTGGAAAAAGTGCAGAGAAGAGCGACTAAGATGATCAAAGGCCTGGAGACTAAAACATATGAAGAACGGCTGCAGGATTTGGGTTTGGCTAGTCTAAAGAAAAGAAGAATTAAGGTGACATGATGGCACTATTCCAGTGTTTGAGGGGCTGCCACAAAGAAGAGGGGAACAATTTATTCTCCAAACCATCGGAAGGCAAGGCAAGAAACAATGGTTGGAAACTAACCAAAGAGAGAAGCAACCTGGAATTAAGGAGAAACTTCCTAAGAGGGAGGACAATTAACCAGTGGAACAGCTGAACACCAGAAATCTTGGGTGCGCCATCATTGGAAGTTTTAAAGAAGAGACTGGACAGTCACTGGTCTGAGATAGCATAGGTTCTCCTGCTTGATCAGGGGGCTGGACTAGAAGACCTCCAAGGTCCCTTCCAGTTCCTATTCTATTTCATTCCACTCTATTTCTTTGCTTTCAGCCTTCCTCCACAGAGGCAGGGGCTGCCCCAATTCCTTCCTCTCTATCTTCATTTTGACCTTTTCTCCAGAGATGCCCACAGAATTTTTTTTTTAAAAAAAGGCACAATAGGGGTAGTTACTTACGACCATAATTGAGTCCAAAATGCCTGTCGTTAAGTGAGTCACTGCAATTGTATAACATGGTTGTTAAGTGGATCTGGCTACTCTGTGGGCTTTGCTTGTCAGAGGTTACAAAAAGGGGACGACCTGTGACCACAGGACACTGAGACCATCATAAATATGAGTCAAATGCCAAGCATCTGAATTTGATGTACAATTTTCGTGGGGAGATTGCAGCGGACGTAAATGTGAAAAAGTGTCATAACTCACTGTTTTTCGTGCTGTTGTAACTTTGAACAGTCGCTAAATGAACTGTCGTAAGTCGAGAACTACCCGCATTATCTCAAGTTCAGCCCCACCATCTATGGGACAGGTTGAGTGGTGCCGTAGCCTAGAGGTGGAGCTCTCACCTCACAATCAGGAGGCTGTGAGTTCAATTCTAAGCAGAGGCAGGTGTTTCTCTTCTCTGGGCCCAGTGAGAATGTATCGGCTGAATAAAACTGCATGGGCAACAGGAAAAGCATCCGGCCAGTAAACACCCTGCTAAGTCCATTCAGTTGCCCAAAACTCCACCTCGTAAAGAATTATGGGGTCATTAAACGAAGATGATCTATAGGGCAGGACAGGTTGAATTGTTCCTCCAAGGACCAACCCTGTAAAAGCCGGGCGGTGGGTGTGTCTTGCCCTAATTGGCACCAATTGCTGGAGAAAATACAATTTGCAGTGTTTTGTGGAATGAGGAAGAAACGGCAGGAGAGGAGCAGGACCTTGGTTCTCATTGCAACGTTTCTGCTTCTTGCAGGTGGGTCCGGGGAGAGCATTTCAGGTACAAGTTCAGCCGGCCAGGTGGGCAGCACGCCCAGCAGCAGAAATGGTGGATCCGTAAGAGGCTTGGACCCTACTTCCCGCCTGTCAACCTGAAAGGACTGAAGAAGTTTTTCAAGGCTCGAAACTGGCCGGACCCGAAGCAGAATTGAGCTTGGTGATCTAGAATTACCCCCTGTTTTGTCTTTGGCCTTCCTTTGAGTTGTGTGAATTCTCTGCTCTGTTGTCAATCCTTCACAGCAGAGACAACCCCCCCAGCACTCTCTCAAGCCCACCAGGCCAGGGATAAAAATCTTGCGGTTTCTTTTCTGTATTTAGGGGAGCTGAGGCCGCAAAGGATGCTCAGAGCATTACTTGGAAATGAACGGGTCGAAAAATGAAAACTCTGGCCATGAGTAGGTTTTAGCATCTCTTACCGTCCTGATTAGCCTAAGAAAAGGGAGCTTTCCAAAGATCAGCCAGGGGAAGACACGCCAAATGCAATAATTAGATGTTAACATAGTTTACAGGCCCCGAAATGTTAGCAAAATTAGCAACATGAAGGGAGGCAACCTTTGTGATGAGAGGGAGAGCGACGGGTTGTTCAGAAGATGGAGGATTTTTCTTGAAAAAGGCATGGAATTAATCTGACATCTGTCTAGGGCGGTTGAATGTTTAATTCGAGAGCTGGGTTGATTACACAGAAATTGTCATATTAGGCGTAACCTTAAATGAAGGTTAGTGCTGTCCAAGACCCAACAACTTATTTTCCACCCATCAACTTTTGGAAAAATGAGATACCCCCCCCCCACACACACACCTTATAAAAATTAGGTTGTGGAAGCCTGGATCCAGGGATCCCAAAGTCTGTTGGTTCAACTGATTTCTGCCTGAAGTCAGCTTCCTCCTTCAAGCGCCATCCATACCTTTCCTACAAAGCCATAGATGCAAAATTGAAATTAGATGCGAAAAAGGCTAAAACCTCCAGAGATTTCATGGGGTTGCATAAAGATCTAGTGAGAGGTCGCTCCGCTCAGGAATTTTGGCCAAGCTACTTTGCACACAAGTGACAAGAGAAGTCCTACCTGTTAAGGTAGGATTTAATTTCATTTTTAGGTCCTTGGGCGCCACCTAGTGTTGATGTTGTTACTATATCAGCAGGAGAGTAACTACTGTAAGCGGGTGAAGAGATATTTCTTTTCTGCCCTCTCCTTTCCTTGTCTTATTTTTTTCCTTCTGATATCTTTCTCCAGTACAGCCTCTGGGGAAACGAGGCAGCTCCCACCAAAATCTGGAATAATCTCTTGCAAAAGGCAATTTAAATCTAGGTGAGGGCTGCTGGTCAACCAATTAATGCTTAGTTTGTGAGTACAACCCATTGGGGTTTTTTAGTACTTTTATTTGGCATCTGCTTATATTTGAGCACAGTAAAAGACCAATTCTTGGGAAACTTAAGATAAACCAACCTTTTTTTTTTAATTCTTCGTTCTAGAACAAGCAGCATTAAAATTCACCCTTAATGTCCAGAGTTCAAATTCACAGAAAATACTTTTTTTAAAAAAAGCATTTGACCACTTTTAACAGTGGTCAAAATTAGAAGGAATTTGTCCCAGGGATTCTGTCTATTATGTATTTTTAGATCTAATGGGTATCTGGCTCTCCTTGCAAGGGGACTAACTAGTACACAAGGACCAATCCCACTTAAAATCTTCATATCTAGAAAACCTGTTTCACGTGAAAAAAAAAGCTGTCATTCTTTTCTAATAACATTTCCCTCTGATTAATACACCATAAACTTTATTAAACTGAAACAAGCGAGAAGGTCAACTCTACAAGTCTAATTAAAGCTATTTGTCTTCATTGCTTCATTGAAATTGCAGGCAGGAAATTCTATCTACAGGAATGAAGAAGAATGGATGGCAATTAATTGGCCAGTGACTTCTAATCCATGCAACTTCCAGCTTCAAGAGAATTAAATCCACAAATCCACTTTCCTTTATAGTCCTATTTGTGAGGGGTTATTTTTATATTAAAAATGAAGGGTCTCCTTCTTCTTCCTGCACTATGGCAGAGTCCGCTTAAAAGGTGTTTTTTGTTGTTGTTGTTTGATTCCTCATTTTTCTGTTTCGGTGTTCATTGCATAAAGCCATTTCCAGATCATGTCACTCCAGAGTGCGTTTTTTTTCCAGCTGGGATAGTCAAAGGAAACGCTCCTCCGTCCAGTCTGTTGGGTCAAATCTTTCCAAACGTGCCAAGGTCCAATCTGCAGCAGGGGGACAGGGGGAGTGTTGACGGGTGAGTGGGCAGAATCTAGCACGATCTGGAGAAGGTACTCTTGTCAACAGAGGATGCCCTGAAATTATTCGAGATGGGAAAGCTAAACGTGAATATTTCCTCTGCTGCAACTTGGCCCAAATTAAGCAAGTGTATTTTCATACTTTTGCTCACCTCCGCTTTCCTCTCTGTAAATTTAGGCTAGTGCATTAATCCCAGGATCTTCTCCGATGGAAGAAGTAGCAATCCTGGCCTCATCCAACGTGCCCTATCATCCACTACGGTTAATCCCTCCTTTTTAATCCCACTGAGTCAGTTATTGAGCAACTGGCATCGTCTCTGCAGTTTTCTGGGTATGATTTCAGCAACCTACAAGGAGCAAAACCAACACATCAGACATCAATTGATGGGCAATCGGAGAGCGGCTATGCAGGAATTTGGTTCTGGACCCTTGAAAGCGGTAGGAGAGGGAAAATGATGGTGGCTTGGTCCTGGGAAAAGGCGAGAAGGAGACTCAAAGCTGCCGCAGGAATCTTTAAAAGACTTTGTTGAGAAAAATCAGCTGTGAACAAACTTGCAGCTTTAGAAGGATACTCCACTCCAGAGAGATGGCAAAGCCTTCGCCATCCATTCTTTCCCACTCCAACTCTGGGAAAGCCTTCTAGAAATTAATTCCGAGCTGGGCAATTTGTTTGCAAATGTTTCATCACCATTTGAGAAGACATTATCAGTTCACTTTGAAGTGTGCTCGTCTGTCAGAGCACTGGCCTTTAAATACCTTTTTATATGATGCAAATTAGCCTAGATGTTTGTTTGGCTACTTCTGAGTCATGGTCTGACTTGGCTGGCTGTTGTTACCCAGACATGGTCTTTACCATCTGTATCTCCTTGAATGGTGGCAAAAATATTTGCAACCAAATTGCCGAGCTCAGACCAACAGCCCAACTACCAACCCAAGCTACTTATATTCAAAGACATTAATTCAGGAGGAAGCTGGGCTTGGAGTCAGTCTTACACCCCTTGTCCCCCCTCCCTCCCCTCCTTTGGGATCCTCACCTGGTTCTGATGTACTAGTGAGGGGAAATTACACTTTTGGGAGAGGGGGAGATTACAAGAGAGCACCCAGGCACAAAATGGAGAATGCACATGGGAAGGAAGATCTTCGCTGCTATCGTTTTGATGAGACGGATTAAGACCTTGCCAAGAATATTTCTTAAAAAAAACACCAAAACCCAAACTGAGTGACTCTGCTTGAGGGTCTGTCACAGAGAAGAAAGGATTGACTTGTTCTTCAAAGCACCTGAGGGCAGGACAAGAAGCAGAGTTGTGAGTGCTCCATTGCTGGAGGTTTTCAATAGTAGCCTAGACAACCATTGAAAACTGGGATTGGGATGGAAGAATTCCCATCCACGCCCAGCACATCTGTAATAGCCCTTATTGACTAAACTTGTGGAGTAGGGACAAAAACAAAGCAACTGGAAAAATCCAAAGAGTTACCTGGGCAGAACTTAGATTTCTTTTTTTTAAAATATAGTTTATTAGTTTTTACAATTAAAACCAACCAACCATACATACATGTTGTGGCTCCGGGCTTGGATTCAGCTCCTGTGATTGATATGAGTTCAAGTGAGGAGGTCATCGCAGAAAAATATGAGCCGGCCTGGCTTACTGATTGGACTGATAACCAGGATGAGGAGATGGACGTGACAAAGGACGACAGACCTGATGTATTAGAATTGTCAGGACCTTTGACCTCCTCTGGTTCCTTATCTGATCAACAGCTGGGAATGGCTGACAGGGAAGTTTTGAGAGAGTCTTCTAGTGGAGATGAGAACTTGGAAAATTTGTGGTTAAATGTAAAAAATAGAACACGGTTGAAAAGGCAAAATCAGCTGGAGCGAATGAGGAGAGCGAGTCAGTAAATTAGCACGTTGCCTCAATGAGTATAAAAGGACACAGCTGGGCTGGTATATTTTGCCAGGAACAAAATGACTATTTGAGTGAGGACGTTACAGCAAGGAGCTCTGAGACTGGAGATTTATTGCCAGGACTGGTTTGCCGGACAGAGTAAAGATTTATGCTGTGGTTTCTGCCAGCCGTTATCTTGTAAGACTTCTTTCCGTTGGATTTAATTGTGAAACGGCTGCTTTCTGTTTTGTTCGTTTGAATTTTGAAGGGGAGTCATAACACATACACAAATAAATGAAAGAAAGGAAAAAAAGAAAATAGAAGAAAGGAAAATTTAGAGAAAAAAGAGGGGGGGAAAAGGAAAGTTAAAAGCAGTTAAAAGTTTGTTTCCTCCTTCCTGGATATCTTGGGGATCTAAATGATTGACCCAAATGCAACTTTTTGCAAGGTGACGGTTTGGACTGTGTCAACTTCCAGGCACCCAGACAGAAGTTGAAGCCGTTGGTTTGAGCTCCAAGCTTGGCGGTTTGGTTGCAAACGTTTCATCCCCATTTGAGGAGACATCTTCAGTGAGCTTTGGATTGTGCTTGTCTGGGGGAGCTCTGGCCTTTAAATACCTCACTGAGTTCTGGTCTGATTTCAGGTTGTGTGATTGACTGGCTGTAGTTACTGAGTCCTTAAAGTCCTTGGCTTTAAGTACCGTCTGTGTGATGTAACTTGGCAAGTTAAAGGCTGGTGCTCTCCCAGACAAGCACAATCCAAAGCGCACTGAAGACGTCGCCTCGAATGGGGTTGAAACATTTGCACCAAATCACAGAGACCGGTGCTCAAACCAACCACTTAACTACCAACCCGAGCTACTAATATTCAAATACTTTTCAACAAAAGTTTAACCTCGGCAGAAGCCTCATCTCCAGAGGTGGCATTCAGCAGGTTCTGACCGGTTCTGGAAAATCAGTAGCGGAAAATTTGAGTAGTTCGGAGAACCGGCAAATATCCCACCTCTGACTGGCCCCGCCAACCCCATCTCTTTTCTGCCTTTCATTGAGTCCCAGCTGATCGGCTGGGTCTTCTTTGGTTGCCCTGCAGAGGAGAATGGAGCTGGAAAGCAGGTTGGTAGGGTGGGGAAGGAATGGGATTTTGCAGTATATTCTTCCCCTGCCACGCCCACCAAGCCACACCCACAGAACTGGTAGTAAAAAAAAATTGATTCCTGTCACTGCTCAGCCCCATCTCATTCTCTGCAGCATCCCAGTAGGTCAGGAGCTCAAACCAGCCAGAGAGCTGGGCAGGTAGGTCTCAGCAATGATCCCCAAGATAGCAGCGTTGGAAGAAATATCCTACCTGGTTCAGTTCCAAGCTGGAGACAAAATGGAGGCTGGAGGCTGATTGGAAAAAGGGTCTATTTATTGATGAAGCAGAACCACCAAGCATGTGTGGTTCTGGGCCGTATGGCCATATGGAGTTGAGAGAGGGGTGGGTTTATACCTTCTCTTGGGTTTGGAACATGAGCTTCCTGTTCCTGTGCAAGAACATGTATTCTATTGGCTGTTGTCAGATTCCTATGGGATCATGTAGGGGTCATAGCTGGCTCTATAGGCAAAGTACAAATCCTAGTTGTTTGAGCTAAGTTTGGTTGAAGTTTCTGAGGGTGATGCAGTGAAGGGGTGTTGGGCAATTCCTATTGTGGCTGAGGGCTAATCCTACCTTTGTTGGATCTTGGGTGAGGGCATTTGCTTATGAATAGGAGTATCTACCTCTTTATCTCTTAAGTGCTGACATCTGCTGTGGGCTATTAAGGAAGGCGGGGGCTGCTTTCCAAGAGCATGTTTCTCCATTCCTCATCCAGGGAAATATAATATTCTGCCTTTTTCGTATTTCTCAAAATATTTCATTCTTTTAGGAGCGGGGCTGGGTGCTTAACTTTCTACAGCAACGAATATTTGGAGCAGCCCATCTCTTCAGTTTCCTCTTTCTTTTTTTTAAATAATCAAAATAAATTAGCCGATTTATCCTGGATAATTCATCTCATGACCTAGAATTTAGCTGCACCCTAAAAGCCAGCCCCGTGTTTTCATAAAGGTACAACGTCTTTGTGCCCAGACACAGAACGCGCTTTCTTGGGGGCACATACGCACCTCATGAAAAACAAATGCCCACAAATTGCCTTATTCAGCCCCCCTTTGCCGGGGTCTCGTCTTCTGCAGCTGTATTTCTAGCGCTTTATTCATCCTGGGCTGGAAAAGCCCAACGCAACCCCTTTGCTGCAGCTGCAATGGTATCATTAGGTATTAACATATTTGCATTTCAATGAGGCCCAGTTCATATTTAAAGGGACAGCTGCCTTGCCCTGTTTACAGGGGAAGAGGCCAAGGGAGTTTGTGTGTGGCTGTTGGTTTTTTTCCTTCTCTCTCTCTCTTTTTTTCCCCCACCCCAGAGAACATTTGCTACTGTTTTTCAAGCGGCTACTCACACTCACACATTTTCTTTTTAGTGCAACCAACTCCTGCTGCTGCTGCCAAGAATAACTGGGGAGTGGGGAGAGAGTTATGAAACTCCTCGCCCAAAGGAAAATAACAACAACTATAAAAGAGCCATCAGTAACTTGGTTGTGTCCTCAGTTCTTTCAAAGTCAGCTTTGCAGCTGGATGGAGAGGTGGGGGGGGGGGAGGGGGGGGAAAGGAGA